TTTTTTTTTTTTTTTTTTTTTTTTTTTTTTTTTTTTTTTTTTTTTTTTTTTTTTTCCTGCCTAAGCTGATAGCCCTAGCGGCTATTTCAGCGTAAGCCTAACTTTAGTAGGTGAGCTCACGGGGCTCAAACCTGACGATGTTATGCTACACACGACACCCTAGCAAGAGTGGCCGTGGCTTCGCGAAATCTACCACCGATCGGAAAACGGGGGACCACTGAGAGATCCGGCGAGAAAACTCGAGTGGGGCTATGTCTGAGATTTAATACTCGCTCGACGCCCTCGTCGCCAAGCGACCGGCGTTCGATCGACAGCGGTGACCGGTGCTTGAAGTACCTAGAAGCACCGTTAGTGGATCGGGAGGATCCGAGATGACGTGTTTTGGGCGACGTCGACTGCTTTCCATTCTGTCCGCAGGATCGGGAATGTAGTTACCGGCGGCCACGATGAGAGGGTTCTCGTGTCGTGCCGCTTTATCGAAGTGGCGCATGGACGCCGACTGAAGATACTTACTGATGGACTCTAAGTCCAGGTCGTCATGGAGGTCGACGTTCCTGACGAACCACGGGGCTCCGACGGCTATCCTGCAAAAACAATACACGGGGACTTGGAATTGGATTTGAAATGGATTTTTCTAGGTGTATTTGCGGGGGCCGCGGGTTGGGAACACTTACCATGCGCATAGCGTCATGTACTGGTGTTTGTAAGAGTTGTCACCTCTATTTCTAAGGGAGCCATTTTTACTTCCCATACATTATCATTCGGTAGAGACCTCCTAGGATGGAAGGGCGCCAGGCTCGCGCGGTCCGTTCCTTGATGTGGGGGCCGGAATTGTAATCCTTACTGTCGAGTGGGTGACGCCTAAATATTGACGCTCGGGTGCACGGTTATGGGCTGGTCCAAACATACGTGAGTTTGGGGCTGAACGGCGGGGGCAGGGGGTGTTGACGGCCTAGTCGGTGAGGAAGGGTATGCTCAGGGCGTGGTTTCTGGATGGCACCTCCCTGTTGACAGAGCACCGCGCCTGTGCTTTTCGGGTGCGCGCGCGCGGTGGTGCGGCACTGTTCCGGAACACCTGTCCCCCAGGGTGGTAGTCTGCCGGTCTGAAGTCCGTCCCGGATGAGCAGCAACCGCCGTTCTTCCTACACGAGTATGTAGATGGCGGCTGTTATCGGCGAAGACGCGCCCAGAAGTGCGGGTCTTCCGGAGACCGGGGTATATGTCGGTTGATATACAACGACTGAATAGTAACGGGGGAGAGGGGCGGAGCCTTGCGGAACTCCGGGCTGTGTGACGTGAGGGGCCGGGGAACGGTCCCCTCGACCTCGCATATCGACGACACGGTTTCGACAAAGTACGTCTCGTATGGATGAACGAGCCTGTCTTGGCACTCCCATGTTTATACCAGCTTTGTATAATCCAAACCGTTGTGCCCAGGATTTGCTCGAACCGGCCTCTCCCGCTATACTCCGAAAGAAAGAGGGCTCCTGTCGGAATAGGGTTCTGGCCGCTCGTGCGCCCCGGGATGCGCTTACTATACGCCCTATCTTCGCGGGGGCAAAACCTCCTTGCGCATGAGGCACGTAAGCACGCCGTTCTTATAATTAATAGGGTTATGCATGGCTCAGGAGGGCGGGGGTCCTTCATACTGGTCGTTTGGTAATTCAAGGGGTCAGCTTTTACGGCTTGATCCTCATCCTCGCGTACTTGCTGTTCACCATCCTTGGCCGCCATTTTTTCTGGCCACTGTGCTGCATAGGCGCTCCATTGAAGGCTTATACACAGTCTCCTTCATGTTGATCAAATTAATGGTATGTAGTGTGTGTAATGTTTTCTTTATTGCTTTAATGTAATTTTTATGCATTATTTAAAAAAAATATTAGCATTGTGCACTTCTTCTCTATATTCTCTATAAGTGTGGAAAATTTCATACTCCTCCTCCGTCCGCGCAATTTTCGTAAAAATAAGGGATACAAAGTTTTTGCTTCACGTATTAATATATAGATTTTATGTCTCAGTCGAAAAAAATGGTTTAATTGGTGTTACTGTGTTGTAAAACATATAAGCATACAAAAAAAAAAAAATATTCGCTGCATTATTTTTCAAATTATTCGTGCTACCAATAAATCAGTTATTATATTATTGGACTGTATTTATGGTTCTCATTTTTTTTGTTTGTGAAGACGTCCGTTTTTTTTTTTGTTATAAACTTCTGAGTACCATTTTTTGTGGATTATCTTTTGGCTATATTTTGCCACGTACATTATAAAAAGTATTTCTCAATTTTTTTTTAGTGTGATTTGGTGTTAAGTGGTTATCTTAAGCCCAATTGAGATATCTTACAACGTAAATTATCGCCACCCAATTTCGAGATATAAGTTCTAATGTCTCTGTATTAGTTTTTTTTTTTTTTTTTTTTTTTTTTTTTTTTTTTTTTTTTTTTTTTTTTTTTTTTTTTTTTTTTTTTGTTTTTTTTTTTTTTTTTTTTTGTTTTTTTTATAGCCTTTCCCCGATCGTGAGATCACCGGGTCTTTTTTAATCTAGTTTACTCATTCATTCCAGTTCTCTCTTTTATGCTTCTCGCACTTTCATGCTTCATACTGCTTCTTTCTTTCATTCATCATCTGTCATACTTAGCCGGGTGGGACTCCCGCTAGCTGACCTATTATCGTTTTATTTTTCTTTCGGGGTAAGTAAAGTTATGCTCATTTATTTATTACAGAAATATTGTTTGAAACTTATGTCTATTTTTAAGCTTATACTATTTGGATCTTATTTACATATATTTTTAACAATTGCAATATTATTATCTTATTTCTATTATTTACATTTTAGCTTCTTATTCTACTGCTTATTCTATTCCATACATATTCTGCCTTTCCTATGTTATTTTTTACATTTCTATTCTAGTTCTTTCCTAACAATACTTACATATATTCATTATGTTTTGCTTAATATATTGTATGCTTATATCTAATATATCTTAATATTAATGTAAACATACTTTATTTTCTATTTATTTCTTTTAATTACTATTTCTATAATATCTATGCAGTATTTCAAGAACTGTTTTCTATTCGTGTCTACTATTATTTCATGCAATGTGTCGAGTCTAACTTTCACGTTCAACTTTTGCTCGATATCGTATCTAGCCCGTGCAAAGATGGGACACTCCACTAATACATGAGGAACAGTTTCTTTCATTGTTGGGTCGCAGATGCATGACGGGCTCTCTTTACACTTAAATCGACATAAGTATTCCGAGAACCCGCCATGCCCCGTCATGATTTGCGTGAGTATGTTGCTGGGCTCAATCTTTTTCACTATCCCGTACGCCACCAGTGCATCTGGGAAAAACAACTTGGTGACGGATGCCGTCTCGCCAGTTGTATAGCGCCGGTTCCATTCCTCAAGCGTGGTCATTCGTAGGCTTCGCTTGACGAATGAGATCGGGCAGCGATCGTAGTCTGGTCTTTTTCTGGAGTTTTCAGCGGCTTCCTTTGCAAGTCCGTCGGCTCTCTCATTACCCTTCAGCCCTGCGTGAGCTTTTATCCAATGCAAGGTGACAGTCTTGTCTTGGAGTAACGAGTCTTTAATATTTTGTCTTGCTTCGACTGCCAGTGGATGGGGGCTATCATAATTTGCTACGGTTTGGAGGGCCGACATGGAATCGCTATAGACTCCAAAAGATTTGCTTCCACTCTTCCTGACTTCCGACGTCGCCACACACAGCGCCAGCAGCTCTGCCTGGTACACCGTGCAGTAGTTTGATAGGGCAAGTTTGCGGGTCTTAGTCTCGGTGTCCCCTTTCCAAATCGACAGCGCGGCTCCCACTTTGCCTCCGATTTTACTACCATCTGTAAAAATACACTCGTTGAAGTCGCTGTTACCGTCGACTTGTTCTTGGTCCTCCAAGCAGACTATCCGTAGATCCGCACGTTCCACGGGGTGTGGCATCTCTGCAAAAGGCGTCATTTGTTCTATCTCCGCGTCAGCCAGTCCCGGCAGCAGTTGTCCCTTCTTGGCTTCGTATAATGAGGCCGCCTCACGAACTCGGAGGTCTAGGGGGAGCATACCCGCCAGGATCAAAGCTGAATTGAGAGATACGGTGCGATACGCTTTGCACACCTTTTGTGCAATTCCCCTCTGCACAGCGGCTAGTTGTTTAATTACGCCCAATTTGGCGACTGCCGGCGCCCATACACTGGCGGCGTACAAGACTATGGGCTCTATGGTGGCGGTATATATTAATTTAATGACCTCGGGGTGTAGACCCCAACTGGCCTTGGCTGCTCTGGCCAGTTGTTTATACACCTCAATCGCCCTTCTGCAAACATTCGAGACGTGCGCATTAAATGTCAACTTGTTGTCGACGGTTACCCCTAGAATCTTAATGTCATCTGACATGGGAATGACTGTCCCGCCCATGTTCAGCCGTGGGATATCATATTTCAATCTCCTTGTGATAATCATAGCTTTAGTTTTCTGTGGTGCGAACTTCAGTTTGTTACTGATACCCCATTTCTGAACATGTTCGAGAGCCGCATTGGCCCGGTTTTCAATTTCTAACGCCGTGTCTCCGTCGAAAACAAGGACAACATCGTCTGCGAATGCCTGACAGTACACTTTTTGGGTGTCCAGACTCTTCAGGAGTGGGTCCAACAAGAGGTTCCACAGCACAGGACCACCGATTGAGCCCTGCACACAGCCTTTGCTGGTATTCACGCTGTGCTCTTCCCCTGCGTATCTCACTCGGACTTTTCTATCCGTGAGATAGCTGTCTAGTACTTTCCGCAGGTTCAGTGGACAGTTTTCCTGGGCTAATCGGACTCTGATGGCAGGCCACCAGGCGCAATCAAAGGCTCCCTCTATATCTAATGACACCAACGTTACTATTTTCTTTTCCTTTAGTTTGTTAGAAATATGTTGCATCATGGTATAGAGGGAGTCCTCGGTGCTCCTTTGTGGCATGAACCCGAACTGCCTTGTACTTGTCCTTGGGATCAGATGGTATTTCACGCGTGACATCAGCATTTTTTCGTATATTTTGCCCAGTATTGAGAGCAAACCGATTGGTCTATACGACTTGTGGTTTGTGTATGAGTCTTTACCCGGCTTCCGCAACACCACCACGGTAGCTTCCTTCCAGGCCTTTGGGAAGTAGCTTTGTTCCAGGCATTTGTTGAGGAGCGTGAGAAATACATGAGGGCTACTGTTTATGGCATGATGGCATATATCCGCTGTAAAGCCATCTGCTCCGGGTGCTTTTTTGGGGTTGA